TATCTGCATCCTTGCCCTGGAGTCTCGCTGGGGTTTCGTCAGGGTCTGTCCTCTCCCCTGCTGTTCTCTCATCTCACTGTGTGACTTTGTGTGTGTATGTGTGTATGGCAACACTCATACTGTAGGGACCAAAGCCTCTTTACACACTCACATTGTGGGGTCTCAGTGTTCCTCATGGTACCCACCATGTAAACCAGTGAATTTAAGGGAAGGGATTTGGATTAATGGGTTAGTTGTTAGGCAAGGAGTGGTTCTGGTTAAGGTTAGGGTCAATCTAATGTAAGTCAATATAATGTCAACAGGAGGAATGAAAACACATTTGTGTGGCCTTGCTAATATTAATATATACAGTACTGTGCAGTTATAATGGCACACTGGGAGCACACTGCTTTGAGGGGACCAGAGGCTGGGGGGTGTAAGGTTAGAGCAAACGTTGGCTTTGTTAAGTTTAGGGTAAGAGTTAAGGTTAGGCAAGCAGTGCTTCTGGTTAAGGGTTAGGTCTCCTGGAAATGGATGTACTTAAGTCTATGTATGTCCAGACCCTGTAAGTGTCAATCACAAGGATGTGTATGTGTGATGCCTGATGAAAGAGAGCAGAGCTGTTTACCATGAGCCAGATGGGGTAAGGCACCTTTTGGAGGACTTGGGGGGCATCAGAGGACACAGAAGGCACCCCACTACACCACAGAATGGAGTAGAGCCAGGGCTCATTCACTGGGTAGACAGTCACACTCACATTATTGGCCAGATACTCCCTGGGGGAAGAAAAAGATAAATGTCAAGGTCCTCTCCCTTTCCCTCCTTAGCTCAGTCTACTCCCTTGTCACAGCACCCTGTTCCTACATATGCAGCCATATATATTGGCACTTTAAATCTTTTCTTTTTATAAATAATGCATGAGACCTTTAATATTTCCTACATAGAGGCTATAAAGCTTTGAAGGTAAAGAATGAATTTAAAGGATCATCACAGTGTAATTTTGAGATTATCTTGGTCTTCTTGTAAACACACATATGCTGTGTATGGATTTAATAAGCCCCTCAGTATTATGGATGTTTCTTATATACAGTCCTGATGAAGCAGATTAGCTGAGTTTTTGACTGTTAAACTAATCAACAGATATTAACTTGGGATGTTTTTAAGAACAGTTACTTTGAATTGATCTATTAGTAATACATATTCAGTGGTATGGAGAAATACTTTTATAGAAGACCTACTACTGCTTTCACTCCTATAGGGGAAAAAAACTTGTCAAACCTGGCACCTACATGACAGCCATTTCAGTCAACATTCTATTTAGTTTCCTATATACGTTTAATGATGGAGAAGGGTAACACCACAATATTCCTTCACTTGTTCTTTTGAGGTACTTTTTTCCAAATAGTGCTTGAGATAACAAACACAGCTCCCTGTTATCTCCTTCCTTGGTGCCGAGAGGTAGACGTCTGCTTACTGTATGTCTTTGTGGCTGGCCTTGCTGTAGTGGAGCGTCAGGCTTGTAATTCCCCTCTGCCCTAAGTCTTCTATTGAGAGCCTCTCATTTGTGGTCTGCTGAAGCCCTCGCACCCTCCCCCTGTCTGAGTCGGGCATCCATGTCACCTGGCAAAAACACACAGCATGGGAAGACATGGGTCAGACAGAACAGTATGTGCTTCACACACAGAAGAGGTTGCAATTTTATGGTAAAAAGTGCTTTTGTCAGTATGATAACAAATTAACTGGGTATACAATAATCAGTAAACAAAGGAGGCCATGATGAAGATTTGGCATTTTGTCCTTGTTGTCACAATACCACGCTGAGAGTGTGTTTCACTTTTCTTTAGGTTTTCTCACTAGGTTGGGCCAGATAATTCCTGTGGACCTTCAATCCTTGCAGCAGTTTGTTTTTCAGCTGAAAGATCAGCATCATCTAACTACCTGTGCCATAAAGTGGTTAAGGCTCCCACAGTCGCTCACTATGTAAATACACAGTAACCAGCTTCCAGCTATGGTTTACTAGGGTTAGAGTAGGTCTACTGCAACCAGCACCTTTAAGCAGTCTACCCTACCGCCCTCACCCTCTTCAGGGAAATCCCTGCTTTCTGCACAGTCCACAGCGTGTCCATGAACCAGCTCCGGTAGCGTGGATGTTCTGGTGGAGGTATGCGGATGTTGAGGAGGGCAGAGCTATTGGCCCTGGCTGCCAACCGCAGCATCTCCACCAGACTGCACACCGTCTGGTTGCGTATTCTGCTCCGGTCCTTCACTGTCAGGGTTTCTACTGTCCAGTAGGGGTCACTCTGGAAGCAAAGGAAAGCAACAGAGAGCCAGAGGCAAAGATGTAACAGCTCTGAACTAACATCATGACTCATGCAAACATTTTATATTAGATATATGTGGCTAATTCATGCACTACTTTGTTATTTATATTGTCATGTTTTTCATGTGTTGACGTAGCAGACATTCTTTTCACGCTGTGACTTTTAGATATTTATGCTGTTCATGTATACATTTTCTCTGTCCTTTCTTCTGTGAAATCCCTTTGTTACTCAAGCGAAATAACAGTATTTACATATTTATTCCCATTGTAAACAGTTATAGTATATGGTTTTAGTCATCTTCTTTTTTATGGACCTTCATTTTTAAAATCAACACTGTCCTACTTCAGTTATTTTTCATAACCTCAGTTTTAATGACTGGAAAATGAAATTCAATTATATAGAACTTATTTCTTATTGTTTATATTTCACAGTTAAAACTTTGACTGCATTTTATACTCTTCATTTTTGTTCACATAAACTATTCCCTGTATCGTCACATAAATACACTTTCACCACTATATAACAAAATATGCTAAATTGTGTTTTTTATAGCTGTGATGAGGGTGAGTTTACAGTAGGTCAAATGGATTTCAGTACCTCTAAAAACCACTGGCCTGCATTTAGAGAGCGAATCTCTGTCCAGTTAAAGAACGAGGAATCATCAAACTGTCTGGCTGGAAAAACCTTACTGACATCTGTGGTCCGTCTCAGTGTGTGGTCCCGCATAAGGAATGGAACCCCATCCGCACTGGGAAAGAGGAAGCAGTCAGAAAAACTTCAGTTCTGATTTATTTTATACTTTAGTAAAGAAAATATAATAATTATGTTACATCAGAACCGCAGCTCAGTCAATAACATTCAAATGCTGAGATGGAATGTACTGATAATATCCACACCTGGTTGTGTAAAAGTTACAATTTCAACCATTAATTTTAATCAATTCTACCAGACAAGCTCTTCCTCAGCTGTCAGATCTATGTGTATGCAGAACATCAAAGCACACAGAATCCATTATGTGTGAATAACCCAAAATTAAAATGTTATTAATGTGTGTGGTTAATAACCTGATAGTGACATCAGCCTCCAGAGAGCTGGCTCTGTGCTGCATGGCCCTGTTAAAGGAGGCCATAGTGTTTTCAGGGGCCAGCTGAAGACAGACAGGAAGACTACTGTCAGTCAGTGTGTGTGTAGAAAACACACATCAAGTGGGAGTGACAGAATTATAAAAGAACATGCCAATGGATAAGCATGATTTACTGAAACCACATACAGTATGTATGAAATGATCAAAAGTAAAACCAAACAAAAACAGTACTTTTACATTTCAGCAAAGGTTTATTTGTTGAAATTATTTATAGGAAAAGAATTAAAAGTTATTTATAATTTCAACTTCTAACAATTTCAGACTGTTAGCACAATGGGCTATAAAACTGCCATCCATGCAACATGAAATGTATAATTGTATAATATATAATGCATAATTTTCTTGAAAATAGCAAAGTTTTTAAATTTTACATGAAATTTGCAGAAACTATATAGAAAACAGATAAAAACAAAACCAACCCACACAAACAGAAGCAAACAAAGATCAACAAAAAGAAAAAGCCACCTGTCAATTAATAAACCAAGAGAGCATTACCAGGTTAAAGCTAACTGGTGAGATCGGTCTCAGCTAAAACTAAAAATCCCTTTCATTTTTTCGATTGCCCATGAAAATCAAACTCTATTTAATACTTAGTAATTTTATTTATGGATTAAAATCATGAGTAAAATCAATTATTCATAACATATCTAGTGGCTGTGTGGTCTGGCAGACCACCATCAGTTTCACCATAAACACAGTGATTACAATATAATTTAATTATTTTAAAATCAATGAAATGTTTGTAAAGGTACTTACTTTTCTATAACCTTATTGCACCTGAGTACATTAAAAGACCCCCTGTCTGACCCCCTGCAGTTCGCCTACCAGGCAAACGTTTTTTATTTTTACGTTTTCTATTTTTAAGTATTTTTATTCCTACTTATCTCGTTCACCATGAGCATTCCTGTCAGGTTTGCTCGGCTGCACTTGCCTCTCTCACCTTTCTTATTCTGTCTCTTCACCCCTGATTACTGATCACGTACACCTGTTCCTCACTCCCTTCTCACCAGCTGCACCTGATTAGACTATTGGTTACTTATACCCGGTTCACCTCTCCTTCACTTGCTAGTTCATTTTTGTCCCTATGCAACATTCATTGTGCTCTCTTGGTGTTCTTGGTTTTTTTTGTACTTTGCCTTGATACCACGTTACTGCCCTGGATTATCTGATTCCCTACATCTCTGACCAGCTCCTGTGTTGTTTCTCTCCTTGGACTGCTTCCTCCGCACTGTGGCTCTACTCTTCCCTCCCGGGCAGGTCGATGCACAGTCACCGTTGTTGTTTCTGCCATAACCAACGCCTCTCTATGTCCTTTCAGTAGCCACCTCTCAACTACCGACCAGCCAAGGAGTGACCTCACCACGCAACTCGGCCCACCCCCTCCACAGCATCCGTCTCCTCACTCCTCACCTCCTGCTGCTGGTCGACACCTGGCTACTCCCCATACCTCAGTAACCTCTTTGTTGTACATATCAACGCACTGTATATATTAATAAATCACACAGACTCTTTGTTGTACATAACAACGCACTGTATATATTAATAAATCACAGCTTGCACCGCAGTCGGCTACCTGGGTCTGCCTCTTTTCTTCTCACTCGCTCACCTCTGTGTGCAAGCGAAACCTAACAGTTCCTTTTCTATTCGCATTGTTTACTGCCTGTTTATACTGTTTATTTTGCATTTCTTGCACTGTTTATTGCATGTTAATACTGCTTATTTTGTCATACTACACAGCCTTATGTTGGTTTACTGTTTTCTTGCCCCTTGCATGGGGATATGTACATACACATTGAGAACTGATGTACCAGAGTCAAATTCCTCATGTGTCTGACACACCTGGCCAATAAAGCTGATTCTGATTCTGATATGACTGTGTGTGTGTCTTTAGAGGGCAGGAAAACACAGCTCTGAGCATCGCTGTACATTTGTTTATAGATAGTCATCTGCAATAGTATTTGCGAACCCAGCTATGAAATGACAGCTCAGTGTGTTGTTGACCGTCATGCTCACAGATCCTGACAACAGTAGGCTCATGCACTGAAGCCATACACCATTCTGCTGTGGATGATAACATGCAGAGTCAGACATATGTTCGGTGATCTATCAGTATAGTATGCTAGCATAAGAAGTCAATTTCATCATTTTATTTACACTGTGTCTCCCCACAGAGTGGAACATCATCCATTTGAACAATTACTGGAACAGGCAGTGAGGTCTGGCAAAACATCAACTCACCATAGGAGCTCCTCTTCTGCCAATGATCTCTGGTCGAGATTTGAGGCTGTGGTGGTCCATGATGCAGGGGCAGGTGAATGTGAGCGGTGCTAAATAGACAGCCAGGAGGATGATGGCATAGATCAGTATCAGGATCACATGGAATTCTAAAAGTTGGAAGGAAAGGGTTTTGAGAGTCGCTTTATGTTCAGCACATCTGATCTCTTCACCATGGCAATAAGGTGTTAGCTTTGTCTGTGTTGATCAGTAGCATATGTAGGTGGTCTGTTCTAGTACCATAATCACCCTATAGTATGATACTGTATGGGCAAAATAATTGGTCCTACTGCAAAAAAAAAGAAATTCCAAACATACAGTAATAGAAAATCATTTTAGCATAGGTACATAGTATGTGTCTGAAATGCACTCACAGGCCACTTCATTAAGTACACCTGTACAATTATATGCACATCAGTGCAACACTTCTGCCTTAACTTTGTTTATGAAGCTCAAAATGTTTCAGCTTTAAGTGTCATAAATATACACATTTGATTACATAGTGATATTGTCATAAATATACACATTTGATTACATGTTTATTATTGTGTTCATAGTTGAAAATAATGTAGTCCAGTAAAACACCACCTTTAACTATGAACGCAATAATAAACATATCATTGAAACATTTTCAGCTTCATAAACACAGATGTTAAGGCAGAAGTGTTGCACTGAATTTCATACAGTTGTACGGGTGTACCTAATTAAGTGGCCAGTGAGCGTATATTCATGTGTTTACTCAAATATTACCTTGTACTAGAAATAATATTAATTGGCAATGAAAATGTTTGCCAATTAATATTACTGTGACAAAATCTCTATACACCATTGATGAAAAAACTAATGAATAAAATATAGTTAAAAAATTAAAAATGAATGAATGCTGAAGTTTGACAAAAATGCTCATTCCTGTTCTTGTTCTTGGTTTGGTCCTGTAGACCAAACCTTTTGTCAATTAATCATCGTATGACTTGAGAAAGAACAAAATACCAAGTATTTGGGTCAACTAAAAATAGACTAGACTGTTTATGATGCTCTTTGCATATGACACGTTTTGGTTGACTAAAATGTGAAATAATAAACGATGAGGCAGACTAAATATAACTAAAACTAACATGGCCATTATATTTCAGGACATATAACAGATGACAAAATGAACAGTTATTGAAAACCAAATTACTGTAACACTATGACTACAATTAATTGTAAAAATTATCTTTATCATTCCTCTTTAGAAGCCAAAGAAATAGAAAGCAGGCATTCTGCTTGGATGTTGACAGAAGATCTTAACTTGAATTTATGGTAACACTTACTGGATCTCTCTCTGCGGACCACACATCCAGCTACTAGCCAGCTGATAGCTGTGACTGATGCCAAGGCTCCAGTGTGCAGGAAAGGTGCCGTGGACTGGTACCAAAATACAAACATAGAACTGTAGTATAGATAGGTGGTCACTTACTAGAAAGACTAAACAGAGTACAACTTTTAAGGCATACATGTCTGAAATAGATAAACTGTGATCAGAGCTCTGTCTAAGTGTGTTGCAGGGAAGACAGAGTAAACAGGACTGTTCTGTCACCGCTGTTTATTAGTTACTGTTCGTCAACCCTAAATATCTTGTTAGGCTCTGACATTACTTGGTGGTATGGTTTTACTGGGCTTCATGGGGAGAAGTAGCCATATATAGGTACCTAGCAGAGAGTAGCCCTGGGTCACATGGAGCCTGATGTGCTCAGACTCGGCTCCCCGAACTGTGCTGAACCAATCAGCAGGCTGCCATTCCTCAGACCATGCCCCATAATTTACATATACTGTTAAAAATGGAATTGGAAATTGGGGGATTTTCAAAATGGATAATAAAATTTTCTGATTCATTTTTCTTTTTCACTTTCTTTTGAATGTTAGGTAAAATATCCCTATAAAACCCTCTACCTTTCTGCAAAAAAAAAAATGTGACACATTTCCCAAAGTTTGTCAAAGTATAACAAGATTAGACAGGTATCAACAATGACCATTTAGTTATTTAACTTAATCCAAATGATTCCATCCTTAAATCCTAACATCTCTAGTGTTCAGAAATCCCCTTTTCTATAACTCCTTGGAACAAACATGCCCAAACATTCCTTTTGAATTATTAATTGAAAAGATTTATTAAGTTTCAAGTTGTTCCACCCATATTTAATAATCACCACTATATACTATTACTATGTGTCTACTTTTAGTTAAAAATAGAACACTACACTGGCACCGTCAGGTCATGTTGATTGTAGACCAACCTGCAGTGATACATGCAGGATGCCCCACTCGTCTCCCCATATGTCATCAACAGTGATGACACCCGAGATAATGGTGAGCAATGTAGCCAACACTCCAATCTGTGAAGATGAGAAGAATGATGATGAAGTCAGATTGTACTTTGAGAGTGTGTGAAGCATATCTACAGTATGGTAACAATTTAGGATGTAAATCACAGCACCTTGTGAAAACTGTGTAGGTTGAGCTGCTGGCCCAAGGATATATGGAAAATGGCTAATATCTGAAATAGAGCCAAGGTTTAATGCATTTTAGCTTAACTCACCCATAAGCAAGTCTGCAAAGATTTAAGGGTTGGGAAAAAGATGGTTACCGTTAAGAATGTAAGGTAGCTAAATCCCACAATGGTGCATACAATGATAGGGATCGTCTCATCTCTCCATTCTCCATAGCGGTTGTATACTGACCTGAAGGGTGAACAAGTAAGAGGTGACTGGGGTTGAATGTATGCTGACAGTTAAACATTTGGCTTGTTTGCCCAGTTCCATTCTAATCAAACATGCTGGGCATAAACAGACTTTCACACAGTCACACAGTGGTAAAACTGACTCACCAGTTGAATTCATTGAAATCATTTTGAGCCACCAACCAGAAGTAAGCCCAAAATAGAAGCAGAAAGAAAGAACTGCACAAGATAATGAACCACGTACACTCCCACTGTAAAGGAAACACAAACAACCATTCAGATTTTTCCTTTTTTTACAATTTTAGACTATACAAATTAAGTATGTAGTATAAAGAGTCTGCTCCTTAATTCCACATAAGGAATAAAGGAACAGGCTCTGTGAAACAAATTTAAGCTGCTAGAATTAGTATGTATCTATCAACACAGTTGATGCACAGTGCTACTGTCTATTAATCATGACACATTTTTCATGTTATTAATTAGACATGTTTTCACTTTACCTGGTTTTTAACTATTTACTATACAGTCGTCTGGCTTGACAGGCTTGACATATGGGTCAGGAGAGGAGCGCTTCTGCAGCACTCAAGGACTTATCTCCTTCAGTAGTTAACAGGGTTGAGCAGCTAATGCCATGTGAACTGAAGTGTAGAGCATGATAGGCCAGTCAACAGATTCTGATAAGCACTGTCTGTCACAGGGCTGACACATAGAAACAAACAACCACACACACTCCCACACTCCTACAGGCAATTTAGAGTCACCAGTCAGCCTAAGCTGCATGTCTTTGGACTGTGGAAGGAAGCTGGAGTACCCGGAGAAAACCCATGCAGGAACAGGGAGAACATGCAAACTCCACACAGAAAAGCCCTGGGTCGGCCCGGGCTCGAACACGGAACCTTCTTGCTGTGAGGGAACAATGGTGCTACAAGGTCCTTCCATCTCTCCAGTTAGAACTGGTGGTACCCACCTTCTGGCAGTGCTCATAAATCCTAATATAATATTTGTGCTGACTTCACTATATGACAGACCTCTCCTTTCTTTCCTTGGCTGAAACATACTCTACACAATGACCTGTGTCAGACAAGGTCAGTGTTGCTCTGTTTTACTCTCTGCCAACTCTTAAAAGCAGTGCTTCAATTTGTAGCTGCTAAATGCTCCACTATGTTCAACAGCTACTGTAGATGCTAACTTGGTCTGTCTGCTAACTTTACCGCTTGTCAGGTAGGATACAGTCATTATAGCTTTTTTGCTGAAAATGGCTGCCTGCTGCAGCTGAATACATGAGGACAGTGAGACTGAACTGAAACAGTAAAGTTAGGCAGCTTCCAACGACTGTAGTGATTATGACATGAACAAAGGTGGAAGTTAGTTAAAGTAGTAAATAGAGTGACAAAGTTTGCATTAGGAGTTTGAGGTGGATGAATGGTTCAAGATACATCGGATGTTCCTGCAGGATACTGGCATTCAAAAGGAATGTAAATCATTGTGCTTTTTTTGTTATTCCTTGACCATTCCACAACCACAACTGCTTGCTTATTATTGTAACCATGACACTGAAGGTCATTTTAACCCAAATCACAATCTTTATCGACCTCTAACCAAGTAATGTTTGTGCCTACACTGTACCAGTTCCATGACCATAGCCATGTGATTGTTTGCCATAGTCTTCCATACTTCAGGTCAAAAACTTTTATCTTTGTGCACCTCCATTTTGTCTTTGTTGCCTTTTTTCAACTCTCTATGCCTGCTCCGGTCACCTCTGTCTACAGTCCTCTGTTTCCCATCTTTGTAATCAACCACTCAGTATTTCACTCACTAGTCAGCATTTACTCTGTGCCAGATAGTCATCATTAAAGGACACATTTCATGACTTTCCAGCATTTATTCCCTCCTTTGGTTCCCATGTTTGACCTGTTTCCTCCTCTGGACATAGAACTTGCTTTCCCCTCATTTGTGTGACGGGATTCACCATTGCTCAGACATTTATTTTTGTCATATATCTAGTCCTGTCCCTGTTTCTTTTGTATATGGCCAATTAGTCACTCCCTGGAGCTGATTATTTGTCTGCCCTTTGTTCTGAACTGTTTGCATGGCCTGCATGTCTGGAGAGGAACTATTTTGCCTTTGTGTCCATGACTAAGTCTGTTCCTAACTCTAGTGCGTTAGTATGCCCAGTAGTTACTATTATGGATATGTTTTGTGTTAGCTCTTGGTTGGCTAAAACATATCCATACCAGTAAACCATACTGCTGTACCTGTATAGCTGCATTCTCCCGACTCAGTATATTCCTATATTGTCATTTTCCCGAGTCAGTTCTTACCTTCATTGTTGTATCTCTCTGAGCCTACAATTATTCTCACCTGTATTCCTGTTGCTTATTTCAGTACTTGCATTACATTTACTTCTGTTGTATGTAATTTACATAAACGTGACAATTGTTACCATGACAACCAAGGTCTGGTAAATACGCAGCTGGAAGGGTACTATAGCACATATTCTAAGGTAGGGATGAGCAACAAACGTTAGATTAAATGTGTCCACTTTATCCAATGTTACAATTAAATTACTGATTACTGCAGCTATAAATAGTCATGCACAGATACTGTATGCACCCTCCATTTTCATAGAAGTAATGTAACATTGCTGCTGACCTTGTGGCCAAAGTGCCACAGTTGCCATTACACACACTAACTAAGTGAGAGAGGCAGAAGTGCAGAGTACAGATAATTTCTAAAAGGACATTCAACCTGACACACATAGAAGCAATGAGGGTGAAATCCATCCTGGACTGAAACTGTGGATGTCTTTAATAATACAATCAGCCACACATCTCTGTGGTGCAGTGGAAACAGATGGCATATCAGAGTATGAATGCCAACCTTTCTGCTTATGTCTCTGTCTCTCTGCATGTGAATACAAGAAGCTTTATAGATGGAGACAGAGAGGGAAGAGAGGCAGCTGTGTTTTTTCCTCTTGGTCTGCACATCATCAGCATTACCGAATGTGTAAGCGATACTAATTTATGACTGAGCCACTGACTCTTTGTGATAAGATATCCAGCAGCAGTAGCTGTGACCGCTCAGTGGGTTTCCAGCACAGCTGAGTGTCTGGCTCTACTTTGTACATCCAAACACTGTGCTGATTCTGTTACTTGGTTTACTTTAATGATAATTTTGCCTAGTTGCCAGGGCCTAAACAAGAACTCCCTTAGGAATTTCAGAAAAAAAAAAAAGATGATGTCAACTTTTGGATTTATTTCAGAAAGAACAGTTGTGTTTTGAAAAGATCCCTAAAAGAATTAACAATTACAAAGATTACACATTCATCTTTTCAAACTCACATCATGATTGACAACTTCCTATAATTTGACAGGAATTAATTTATTAAATTTATTTATTTAATTAAGCTAAATTTAATAAATTAAATGTTTAAAGGGTTAATTTTCTAAAGTATTTCAAAAAGGTGTTTTACAATACAAGGCATTAAAGATGTATCCATATGGGCCTAAGGTTAAGAGCACAAACCACTGTAACGTCTCTAGTTCAAATGCAATTAATCCAAAGCTCCAAAATACAGAAAATAAAAGTCAAAAACTAAAGAGAAATGTCGGGTACAAAGGAGCCTGTAATACCAGAATAAAAATGACTGGTTGTGCATTGTGTTGCTGTAGTTCTGATGCTTTCCACAAAGTAGAAAACAGTTCATTTATTCCTGAAGAGTGAACCTCTTGAGTGCAACCTCAGCAGAACGTGGAGTCTCTGACCTCTGTTTTGTTTGCTTTGCATTCTGCAGAGTAGGCCAGTGGACACACAGTCTATCCTGTGCAGTCTACTTACTTTACTGAAATGTTTATTTACAGGATCTCTGTATAATACCAGAGTAAATGTGGAAACAGATTAAAATCCCTGTTACAACTGCTTTTGTTGCAGTGGTGTAAATGTCTGCTGACTGGATGAATTGTAGGCAAAGTTATTATAACAACTATTATAGCATTAGCATTCAGCAGATGCACTGTAATTACTGTGGCTGGAACATCTATGATTAACATAAAAATGCTCACTGTTCCTGCGGACCACACCTACTACTGCTGAAGTGTGATAAGCAACTGGAAGATGAAGCTCTTTGTCTACACTCTATTACTCTGTGTAATGACCAAATCACACTAATGGTTTGTTTGAGCCGATTGAAGAAAGACAAATTAAGTATCTCTAGCATAACACTGACTGACAGATATGCTGTGCATTAATGGGAGAATGATCAAAAACAAGGCTGAGTATCAAACCACAATACAGAATGAAATGTGTCCATAAAACTAGGTACTAGAAAGTTAAGCTGTCAGATGTCTGGTCAAATTTGTGGTATTGTTAACTTATTTTTCTTTAGATATTTCATGATTCAAATCATGCTGTTTTTTTCAATTTTAGATTATTTTATTGAGGTTAAGTGTTTGTATGGCTGATTATATTTAACACATGAGCCTTTTTTCGAGGGTTTTGGAGAAAAACAACTTGGCCCTTTTCAAAGCAAGTATCCAAATAGTATTGTTTTACTTAAAAATTCTAAACAATAACCATAATTTGATCATATATCTCCAGCTACCAGGATGTATCTGCATACCAGAGATGGAAAGTAACTAAGTACATTTAATCAAGTACTGTACTTGAGGTATCTGTACTTTACTTGAGTATCTTCATTTTCTGCTACTTAATATTAGAACTTCACTACATTTCAGAGAAAAATATTGTACTTTGTACTCACTACATTTATTTAATAACTTTAGTTACTAATTAATTTACAGAATGAGGTTATTAAAGCAAAATACAGTATCATCATAAGATTTATTGATCCTTGGTGTAAAATTTACAAGCTACCCAGCAATGATTCAAATTATAAGCATATAAGGCAGCTAAAATTAGCGCTACTTTTACGAGCGACAACATTAAATGTGATGTACACAATAATACATCTGTAATTATAATCAAATAATATGATGTACATCAATGTAAGCTGTGCAATTTTGCATAATTGGTACTTTAAGCATACTTTCTGCTAATGTTTTTGTACTTTTACTTAAGTAACATTTGGAATACAAAACTTTTACTTCTAACAGAGAATTTTTACACTGTGGTATTGCTACTTTTACCTAAGTAAACAATCTGAGTGCTTCTTCCACCACTGCTGCATACCGTAACAAAGCTATGATAATGCAATAAGGTTGTACCAGTAGAAATAAGATATAGCCATATTTTCATTAGTATACTAAGCAAATAATATTTGATTTTATCTGATTGTTATTGATATCCATACTCATATTTGTCATACCCTGGAGCTGTTGTCTTGAGAACGCTGGTAACGTTTCCAGCGGCAACCATAGAATCCAGTGACAAAGGAGATAAAGACTTGCTTCTCATAGACCTGTAAGGGTTGGTGTTTCACCATGCTCCTTCAGCCTCAATGCACCACCAGTCGTTTAACATCCCACACAGCACTGGGAACCCTGGAGAAGGCCAAAGTGTTACTACACAGGAAAAGCTTTCCATAAGTTAACTCAACTTTCATCAACATGTCATGTCATGTCGTTGAGATATATTTTTACAAAACAGAATTAATATGTTGACAGTAACAACACCCAACAGGTCATTCAATAGTGAGTCATGTCTGGGGCAGAAATAATAACATGGTACACCGTATGCTTCAGAGTCACTAAGTCAGCCCATACCCATGTAAAGATTTATGACTGGGGAAAAGTGGCAACTAGGCATCTGTAGGTAGGCAATGTAGCATCTGTAATGTATGTATGGGTATGACTTAATTCATAAACAAGAAGATCATCAGTTTAAAGGGGGGGCGTATTAGATGGAGACAGCATGTTCTGTTCTGTTTCAGAGTACAGCCTGTTGCATTAGTGGCAGGTAAAAATGCACTGACACAGAATAAAAACTTTATATAGCACTGTTCTTACAGCAAGTGCAACTCAAAATGTTGTAGCCTACAGCAACAAGTTCCAAAAGAAACAAAAAGTAAAAAACAAAGTAAAGCAAAACTAAAATTAACAATAATATCTAAAAAAGTCTAAAAAAGTAGGTTTTAAGATTGCATTTAAAAATACTGTATCTACTGTATCTGATGCCCTAACCTTCTCTGGAAGACTATTCCACAGGCAAGGGCCTGTGACCCAAAATACATCATCTCCATTTGTCTTGTTCTGGGTTGAGCAGTGACCATTACACCAGCATCTGAGGATCTCAGGGGTCTAGCAGGAGCATACCTGACCAACATATCAGAAATATATTTCAGACCCAATACATTTAGTGACTTCAAAATTTTAAAGTTAATTGTAAATTAATGGTAAATGGGGGCGACTGTGGTTCTGTGGGTAGAGCAGCCGTCTCCCAACCAGATAGTTGGAGGTTCGAATCTCGGTGCCTGCAGTCCGTGTGTCAAAGTGTCCTTGGGCAAGACACTGAACCCCCCTGTTGCCCCCAGTGGTTAGAGCCATCGGTTGAGTTGGCGCCGCAGATGGCTGCCTTGGTTCTGTGCCAGAAACAAATTCCTTGTGTGTAACATACTTGGCCAATAAAGGTGATTATCCTTATCCTTATTATTAAAATCAACAGGAAGCTAGTGAAGCGTCTTTAAAGCAGGGGAAGATGTGCAGCTGCATTATATATATTCTGTAGTCTACACAGTGATTTCTTAGGAAGACAAGAAATGACAACAGGGCACTACAAGCCTGCTGGAGATAAAAGCATACATAAGTATTTCTTATCTTCCTTAGAAATGTTTGCACATGAGTAATGTTTATGACATGATAAAAACAGTTTTTAGTTATGTACGTATCTAACTTGTGATTCAAAGCACAAGTCAGAGTCAAAGATTCTCAACTTCTCTGTTTCTCTTCCCTTCCCTCTGGCATCACCAGCAGTCATGGATTTGATTATTCAGTGATATAGCTTGATATGTACTGAATGGAAAGGCCCTAACCTGACATATACAGTAGTATGGATTACATGGCTGATCGGCAATACAGCAGAGAGGACTAGATAAAGATTCTTAATATTCTTAAGCCAAATTTGAACACTAACCTGTGCACCTGGATGGAAATTAATGTAGGTTTTTGCCTCAAAGCATCAGTTTTGTTCTAGTTCTTGGTCACATATGTACTGTACACTACACAGTAGAATGTTATAGTTTTCAATCACTAATTCAGACAGTTGGAAAAGTACATAAGTGAATTAATCAGTAAACAATAGTGATTTTCATGCCCACAAATCTCTGCACCAAGCGGACTCGGGATGAGCCTGTGAATATACGTAGGGCTGATAAAAAGGGATGGTTTAGCACATTAGCTTAGGGTTTAGCTCACTGAATCAGTGATTCTTCAACTGATGCTCAGTGGGTGAACAGCTTATGTCACAGCTTGAAAGAGAAGCAGGGGGCATACTAGTGAAGAGCAGCCCACCTCTTCTGTTTTTTAACTAAACTCAAAAGTAGACCTGGAAAGAAACAGTCTTTAAAGACATCGCCATCAAAGTGATTTTATTGATGACTTGGAAAAGCACCTCAAAGACCAATGGTAAATTTCATCAAGGGGCAGCTGCAAGTGTCAGTGGTCACAATCACCTGACCCCCTGCAGGTAGTGTTTTACACTCATGATAATCATGATAAGAGAAGATGGAAAGGAAGATAGAGAGAGAAGCAGGCAGAACAAATATAGAGCCACATCAGAAAAATAGGTCCTCCTGTTCATCTCAGTGAGATCATTTTGTTAGTACAACAGGAGAGGTACTGCAGAGGAGCTGGTGGGGAAATCTGACACCCTTTAAATGGAAAAAAGCTAGGCTCCATAAATCAATAATAAATAATAAACACAAAGACAAATAATAATGGTTTATGTTTGTTGATAAAGGGTTGCAATGAAAGGCAAATTCCCAGTCAGATAACAATAGCCGAGGGCCAAGCCAAGCTGCTCCTTTGTCTTTATCTCTGAGCAGGGAAATTACAACATGAAAGGGGGAGTGGGCAGCAGCTGTGTCTGTACAGCGCTGTACAGCTCACATTAGGGTTCCATGTCATTTTCAAATGTTCAGAAACTCACAGAGGAAAACACTAGAACAAACCTTATGATTTGATACACAAGCACAGATATCAAGCTGTTTCACTGAAAAAAGGTAAAAGTTTGACCTGCTGCTGGTGCTCAAAGAAAAGCGAGAGAAACAGCAGCATATTTTATTTGGCATATCATGTTAAATGTTCCATTGGGTATTAGTGACACATTTAAAACCTGCAGATAGCATCAAACAACAAGCTAGATTTTGAGAATCATCTTATGGTTGATGTACCACTGACTGGAAAACACTGTGATGAGGACAAGGGCCCTACAATATCTTCAATGGTTGATGTTGACACCTTGACCTCAAAGCTTGCCTTGTGATCAAACCGGGCTGGAACTGCTCATTTTGCCAGCAAATCTTCAAAAATAAATAAAAATAAATAAATAAATACATTTAAAAAAAGCTATTCAACTGCGTTAAAACAGTTCACGCTAGCATACTGTACAATTTTGTGGTTTTGTTTTATGTAATGAAATGTTTATCTTAATGTACTTTGGGCCACTTCGTACAATGTAATGTACTTTAATGTTTATCTTATGTATGAAAAATTATATTATTACATTGTTTGATGCCTATTGTATGATGTTTATCCTATTCAGGATGTCTTAGAAAATAGGTGTGTGTTTATTTAGGACTCACCTGATGTAAATATGCAGTATGTGCAACATACCATGCCTCTGAAGAAATTCCAACACAAACCCTATTTACAGTGTAACCACTATGAGAAACCACACACAAATGCTTTTAACCTCAAGGTGAGTTTTCATGAACCTGCATTTACTCAATGAAAGGACACCTTAGTAGTGTTACTGATGTACAAATGTATTTCTTTATTAGGATTTCAATGAGGTTCAGTGTTCAGTTTTATATATATATATATATACTTTCAGGATTGTGCTGTTAATTGGAATGTCAGTTCTAATGTTATGTGTAAATTCTATTGTTTCTTCTAGCTTCTCTTACATACTGCTTCAGGACAAGTCCAAAATCTGCTGTTGCATGCACTGTACAATATTTGCCAGCTCCTTTGAACCTTGTGTGGAAGACAGCTATCCAGTTACAGTATTAGTTAGATTCACCCAGATTCACTGGCTCCGCCAGCACATACTGATCAGCATAACATTATGACTACCGAGAGGCAAAGTGAATAACATCGATTGTCTCATTACAGTGGCACCTGTCAGTGTGTTGGGTATATTAAGCAGCAAGTGAACATTCAGTCCTCAAAGTTGATGTGATGGAAGCTGTTAAGTTCTGCAGTAGCTGGACCCAACGTACCAACACACTCCAAGAGTGGGGATATAAAGTAAAGTATATTGTAAAAGGGCAGGCGATATGATTGGGAGAGGGAGAGAGAGAAAACAGCAGCAGAGCCGGCTCTGGACTAGAACAGCAGGCAGAAATGATTCTGGACGGGACAGGAAGACTAGGAAGGTGGGGGTGAAGCGAAGGTTGATGGAGGAGTGGAGAGCGGAGTAGCGTTGAGCTGGAAACAGCAGGACTCACCAGAGGGGTGGAGAGCCAAGTAGCGGTGAACTGGAGGTAGCAGGACTCACTGGAGGGGTGGAGGGTGGAGAAAAGGCAAGCTGGAGATAGCGGGGTTTACCGGTGGAGAGAAGAGCAGAGTAGCAACGAGCTGAGAATGCTGGGTGAAGTTGCGTGACTCTGAAGCAGGGAGCAGAGCTGGAGAAGACAGGGAGGAGAAGCACACCACACTGGAAGCAGGAGACAGGTAAGCAGGGAAACACCTCGATACACAGGATCAGGAAACAGGTAATGATCACAGGTAAGTGACAGGTAAGTTTGCACACAGGAGCCAGGGAAGACTTCTGACTGTACAGAAACATTAGAGAGTGAATTAGGTTACGGACCAGTGGGGAACTAACGGAAAAGGGCATGTATATATGGGGAACTGAACCGGGAGGAAATAAGCAGCAGGTGAACATGATGATGATTGATTACGCTGGCTAAGATTGTGACAGGCAGAGGGAAACAGGGAAACACAACATTGAGCAAGTTTAGGGATCTGAGTGACTTTGACAAGGGCCAGACTGTGATGGTGAGATGACTGGGTCAGATCATCTCCCACACTGCAGGTCTTGGTGGGTGTTGTTGGTCTGTAGTGGTTAGTACCTACCAACAGTGTCTAAGGAAGGATAAATGATAAACTGGAGACAGGGTCATGGATGCCCAAAGCTCACTGATGATGAGGTTGACCTACTGTAGATTAAACTTTTAAATTTCATTCATTTTTTTCAAAACATTAAAATTTGTCTGAACCTTTGTTAAAATGGTTGAAAATGAGAAATACTGTGCATTGGTCTCAATGAAGACAAACATTCAGTGGCTATACTTAGAGTGGGGAGGCTGTTGAATGTGTCTAAAAGATTCTCTCTAACTTGTGCTCATGACCAGAGATGTCATTCCTTTTACATAGGTTTTTCACTGAATTACCTACGCATTTCTGCTCTTCCTGAAAGCAGAATTATGGAAGCAAACTGACTGACAGACCCTGGAGACAGCCAACCCATTGCCGCATTGGCTCTTGCGTATACAGTGTTTGTCAGGTGGTCATAATGTTATGGCTGGTCAGTGGAAGACACTCTCTCATGGGCTTCCTACTGGTCTGTCAGTCAGCTGGCTTCAGGTCAGTCTTCTCTCTTGAACCTGCCATTTACTTGAGCTGACTGGAATACTCTCCTCGCTTCCTTGCCAGCCTATGGAAGTGACTTGGTTACTGTCACCATGAACCCAAGGCTGCAGGTACCTGGACTGTCATTGGAGTTATACAGAATTATGTTCTCATTGAATAATAATACAGTAACCCACTTGGTCCTAACCAGCCCCCTGTCACAGAGCCTCTGCCATATCTGTCTATTATTAGACTTTTATCTTGGTCACAGTCTTCCCAGGCTTCCATCATGTCTTCATGAAATTTATATATACATGCATTAATAATATTTTTTAATCTTTCAGAGGATTTAGCCAAAAATAGAGTTGGTGCTGCTTGCTCATTATCAGCACACAGGGGCAATGTATGATGGCACAGACTGGAAACCAAGCTGCTGTCAAAAGGATAGACCGTAATTAAAGCTTGATCCATTTTTTTTACAAACGTGATCATGTCACCCTTCCAATGTCAAATATTTTCTCTATTTTTTTTATTAAAAACACTGCAGGTGAACCATTACCTTCATTACATTCAATGGAGAAACTATATAAGGATACCTCAGTTATATGCAGGATAACAGAACGACTACTACTACTTCATAGTTTGGTATCAAAATAACTTGCCCTGTAGCAGGTGTCACTGAAGTTGTTCAGCCAACAAAAGCAGTTTCACTTATTTCACAGCTACTATCATCCATCATGCAGAAGAGCAGGGCGACATAGGCCCTCACCTATAGAGCATCAAATACCTGGAGGGTATTTGGGTCACATGGGTTTTGTTTGTTTGCCAGTTTTGTTTTGTTTTAATATACAGTAGTACTGGTTAATGTATTGGTTACAGAAAACTGCCTTTTAAATAATAGGAATTGCTACACCACATGTATATCTATGTATATCTATATGTAGCTTGCATTTAACTGCAAATAAATTCAAATAGCAAGCATTGGTATTAAGTGTGTGTGTGGGGGGCGGGGGGGGGGGGGGGCACAACAACTTGCCTAGGTCACTGACAGACCCACAGGGCCCTGCAGAACACATACAAAATAATATTGTATAGTCTTTCTAATCTATATACTTATGGAAAAACTATAGTGACAATACATGGTCACAATGCTGATTAATAATGGTCTGTGCTGAAAAGATCCATAATAAAATAAAAATGTATGAAAGAGGGTCTTCAGAAAAAGTAAGATTCTTAGAAATGGGCCCAGTGAGGTGGCAACGGCTCAACTCATAATCCCACCAAACTGACCGTAAAACCACGAACAGTGCCAAGTCAGGGCTACACAGCCTACATGGAGGTAATCCGATCAAGTGCGCACAAACACTTACTTTACCACACTCTTTTTTATCCCACGATGGTGAAAACGCCAGGAGCTTTCTATTAGACTCTTATTTCCATGGATGTTGACGTAATGCCTTCACTCCTGGAAGGATTCATGTGATAAATCTTTAAAGTTATTTTCTGCAAAAATATGGAACAAACCGATGGCACACATCAGGCAACTTTATAGGCCAAACAGCGAAAACCACTTATATCGCAGTTTTAACGCAACGCAGGCGCAGCAGCTCATGGACGTTTCAGTAAATGACAGGTCCTCCTCGAAGACAGCGCACTTCCCGTGCTCGTACACAAGAGTTAACCAGTGTAATCCGTCCGACACGGGGGGTGGAGCTGTCGGGCACACTGCAGAAAATATCCTCCCTATGAGTTTTTTAAAGACTTACAGTACCACAGTGTTCATTTGTGATAAAATGTGTATTTTTACAGTGTGCACGCCACTGGGCATAGGGGGAGCTACAGTACATTCCTCACAAAACCGTTTTGGTACAACTTTATTTGGTAAATCATTTATTAAGACAACATATTTCTGAAATCAAATGAACAACTCTGCTAGTACAGTTTCAAAATAAGACTTCTTTCAAAGCAGCTTCATCCTGTTTTAAGAACTTTCCAGAAAAAAGTGGCATTGACTGTCTGAAATTCTGAAATAGCATAAATTTTACATACACCAAATATTGTATATAAATAAATCGATCATATGTTGTGCATATATTAATGTGATTTCAAAATTACAGATAAAACATCTGTAAGAGGAGAAGAAGGGTGTACTTTAGCTGAAGCCTGCTGAGATTGGACCTCTTCCTCTTAGAGAACCTTGTTTGTTCCATTTTGAAGACAGTTGACCAACATGTCACGACCTTAGTGTTATAAGGTTTTATCTGCATTCTGAGTAGTTTCAAAGTTTCACATCTTGGACAGCCAAATAAATATACAGGAAAAAAATCTTTGTCAAATCAACAGGCACCTTAAAACTTTATATTAACTTGAAATTGTAAGGTTCTATTTGCTTTGGCAGGATACAAATGAAGGACTTCCTTGAGTAACAGCTTTGTCTTACTTTGTTTTAATAACATCTCTGTGTTAGTTACAACATTATTTCCTTTAAAATTGGAAGATTTGTGGGAACAAAGATGAAACCTAAAAACATTCAGACCTTTCACAAAAAAATGAAATTGACAATACAGATTGCAAAGTTTGAATTAAAAAAGGTGTTTCTTATATTTTCATTCTATGCACAGCTTTGGCAAGCTAGAGACATTACTGTCTGAATCTGAGCTTTGACTGTGATCCTTATCATCAGTTTAGGCCTGCTCAAACTCAGCTTGGAGCATGGAAGAGTTAGTAACTGACTGCTACTGTAACTGTTTAGTAACTGGCAGCAAAAAAGAAAACGGATCTTATCTCAAATTTCTACATATTGAAACTCTGGACAAAAGTGGTGGCATCTCTAAACTCTGGACTAATAACTTTTTAATTAGCATTAATTAACAAGTGTTAAACCAATGTTCACATTTAGCTTTTGACCAAGCTCAAAGTCAATAAATGACACCATTTAGTTGACATCTGTAACCATATCATTTAATAATATTTGGAATAAAATCCTCTATTCTGAAGTTTCATAGTATTTGATTTTGTTTAATGATATCTTCAGTTCCATTAACCACAATGCTTTTAAGTGATACAGTAAAGAGGTGGAACATGACTGGTCTTCCTGTGAACATTCTAAACAATGATTGGTGCTTTTCAGGTGGACCCTCAGAGGAAGAACCTGTTTTTTCTTCAAATTATAGATTCAGTAACACACTTTAAAAAACCTGTACAGAATGCCAATAATTTATCAAAGAACAATTTTGTGTGAATAACACATTTTTGGCAAAAATGTCAAATAGAACCTTATAGCTTTTAGCACATGGATTTGACAGTACTGATCATCATGTGAAGAGTTTTGTGAGGGTTAAATCACATAGGTTTCAGGTGTGGGTGGGTGGAAATGTCAGGAAGGATAGATCAAAGAGGGTTACAAAAGAAATAATTTAATTAAACTTCTCTGTGGGGGGTCAGAGTCACCAAGAAGGTTAGCATTGGTCTCATCTCTAGGTAGCACAACCACAGGGGAAAAGCAACAAGGAGATTTAGAGGCTTGTTGGAGAACCATGCTGTGAAAGAGAGTTTCCATCAAGGAGCTCGAAAGCCTAAAGAACGGATGACCTGCAGGCGATGACATAGGGGAGGGGAAATCCCAAATGTTATCTCTTATTTTCATGGAGAATTCTTTTATTCCAAAACTAATTACTACTGTGCTTACAAGGTGCCTGAACATAAATTCAGAAGCAACTAAGTGGTTAGAATAGATTCCCAGCATATAAATAAATCCTTAAAGCTTTTTACATGACAGTGTTCTATTGTTCTGTTTCACTTTAGTGCCACAAGATCATTTTGATAATTTAAATGGTGGTCGTAATATTGAGGTAACACTCAGTTGTAGATCACTGTTCCAGGTCTAGGAAGCCACGTGTTGCCAACACCTGGCAAAAAGGTAGAGCACATGAGTAAGGTTTGGTAAGAGAGCTATTCCAAGCCCAGCATTCAGAGATTAGCCCTTGGCTTAAGATAAACACCTCAGATCCCTTTAATCCCAAACAATTTAGGAATGACTGTCCTGCAACTAGAAGTCCTCTTACAGGTGAGATGCATTTCCCAGACCTGTGTCTCTTTTGTTAGGTAGAGTAATTCCAAATCTGAATTACTAAATTTAAATTCATATTACTTGTAATTCAATTTATCACAGTTTAACTGATGTAGCCCAGCCTACAAAAACTTGTAGACCAAATAAATAAATAGCTGTTAAATATATATATATTATCTGTTAAAATGTTTATTTTATGCCCTGCCATTCCATTTTATTTGCAGAATTTAAATGTAATTTCATAATTCATTTGGTGCCTAGCAGTGGTGTTACTGAAAGCAGTAGCACTACTTCCCACAGTAGTGAAAGGAGAGCTCTTTGGCCGCCTCTAGTGTTCAAGAGAATTACTGACCACTGACTCAAATGAAAGTTACTACTTCTGCCGCCAGAGGGCATCTGTACCAAGTGTACCATAGGTCATCTTGCTCTCTTGAGTGATAGGAAAGCATGGAGTTCATGTCAGAATATTGTGGCTATTGCAGTTCTACTGTGTGACCAAGTAATATGTAGACAGAAAAATAAACTCAACACTGCATTCATGTTAAATCAAAAAGTTTTTACATCAATTAAAAACACCTACACATGGTATGACAGGATAACTCAAACCACACAAGAATGCATGCATTCACAACTACTCTTCTACAATCACCAATAAATGACTGAAATGTCCCATTTACATAAGTATTCAGACCCTTCACTTAGTACTTGGTTAAAGCACCTTTAGCAGCGATGACAGCCTCAAGTCTTTTTGAAAATGAAGCTACAAGCCTAGCAGCCCATTTTTTTGGATTTTCTTCCATTATTCTTGGCAGAATTGCTCAAGGTCAGCTGGGTTGGATGGGGAGTGCTGGTGCACAGCCATTTTCAAGTCTCTCCAGAGATACTCCATTAGGTTCAGGTCTGGACTCTGGCTGCGCCACTCCAGGACTTTCACAGAGTTTGCCCAAAGCCACTCCTGTGTTTTCTTGGCCATATGCTTCAGGTTGTTGTCTCCACGCACATTGATGGGAACTGCAGAAATGTTCTGGTATCCTTCCCCAAATCCCCGTCTTGACACAATCCCATCTCGCAGATCTGTGGACAGTTCTCGTGACCTCATGGCTTTGCTTTCACTTTGATATACACCACCAACTGTGACAGGTCTGTGCATTTATCAGTTATATCCACTGGATTAAATTAGGCACCGGTGGACTCTAATCAAGCTGTAGAAGCATCTCAATGACAATTGACAGGAGTAGGATGCACCAGAGCTCAATTGGATGGAACAAAGGGTCTGAATTCTTATGTAAATGAGACATTTCAGTTTTTTATTTTTAATACATTTACAGAACACTCCAAAAACCTGTTTTCACTGTGGAGTACTATGTGTAGATTGATGAGGAAAATATTTTATTGAATCCATTTTAAGGTGAGTCTGAAACATAAAAAAACGAATGAAAACTTGAAAGGATCTGAAAACTTTCTGACTCCACTGTATATTTTATACGTACTTTATCTTTATTTTCCTAATGCACATTCATTTTCCTTGTTGGTACATTTTTTGTTGGCACGTTCTTTTCATGTTCTACCACTCTTATCTTGTTTGCTTGTTGCCTTATGGAAGAACATTGCATGCTTAAACGTCATCTTTGGGTCGTCTTTCTTTTCTCCACCTCTTCAAGTGTCTCAGTTTCACACTGACTGAAATGTAACATTTTTTTAGCATTGCTTTCATTGCCATGTCTAATACTGTATGGTTCAGAGACCATTTCTATATGCAAATGACTGAGTAAGGTGTGTGGGAGTGGAAAAGAAGCTTGGGCACGTGAGCCCAATTCCATGACAACTGAGGCTTAAGTGTTGCTTTATAAATCTGAGAAAACAATGCAAAAGCTCAGTTCCGCCACACACAGTTTTCGACATAAACCTACACACAGCTTTATGCATCTGACCCTTGGTCTTTTTTTTATGTTTTTACTGAAAAGTACCAGTAAATAGCCAAGTTTGGCTTTGGTGTTGTTTGCTGTTGTGGAAAGCTCAAACTCAAACTCAAAAAGTCAACCGTCATGAGCTTGACATGATGAGGCACTGATATGGTTAGCAAGAAGCACACTGTAAGTGACCCATGTTTTTCATAACATCATGTGTTGCTGCCATGTTTCCTGCATTTATGTCAGTGCTAAATCCAATCAAGCATCATGTGTTGCTGCCATGTTTCCATTTATGTCAGTGCTAAATCCAATCAAACCAGTTTTGTAAGACAGCCAGTCCTGTTTGTTATGTAACACTGAGCTATCAGACTTGTAGCTTGAGGTTATGTCTTGTCCATTTTGAGGATAGATAAACTTGTACAGTAGGCGTACAAGGACATCCTGCTGTCTCCTGTAGTTACTATACATTCCACTACTGAGAGGGCTGTGCAGCTAACATAATGTGACCTGAATTCCCACTAGAGGTCCGTTGCTTAAAGGGGCATGCCACTGAATTAACTCATAAATGTCATTTTACCCACCATGGAGAGTATTCCTGAACTTGGGAGCCACTGTATAATGTGTTTTGTGTCTGATATCTCTGCCTTTGCACCTTCAATATATATTCTTCATTCTTTTAAAAATCTGTTTCTTGCATGTTCCCCAGATTTACTGGTGCAATAATCACTAATAATTATAATCAAATGTTCAAATGGATAAATACTTCAAGGTTACTGGTTATTAGAACACGGTGGAACTAAAACCCTGTCCACCAAATACAGTATGTCCTGCTCTAAATGGTCTTGTAAATCTTTCCTGGGAAACATGGAAAATTATACATCTTATGTTTTTGAAATATTTGAATTTAGCGGAATCAAAATATCAGAGTTTAACAAATAAAACTACTGTCAAACCACTAAGACAAAGTAACTGCCCCAAATGAGACGAAGGTCATATGTAATTGCCAATACATATGATGCACCCAAAATACCAAAATGTCTAGAAGGGGAAAAGAATATGGTGCATTGTTTATGTCTGTCTGACCTAGGAAACTTTGTTTTGTATGGTAGATCAGTGCATCAGTAAAAGCACCATAAAAAGGCATGTATGGTGTTGTCTGCACCTACAGGACACCACCATACTGCATGCACAATTACTAGGCAAGCCTATAATTTGACCATATCATTATTTCTATGCATGTTTTTCATCTCCAAGCCATATAAACCTGTATGCTTATTGGGTTTAATTATTCTCAAGTCTTTAGCAGTTCATTAGCATCTTTTCTTCTCCACACATTTTTGACTGTTGACTATTTGCAACAAAACGTTTGCTAATCTGGTGATCATGCCTCAGTAGTTGAACTATTTCAAAAGTGTCACATCCCTCTGAAAGGGATTTTACAATTTCTGACTTTTTATCTTCAGTTAAATCTCTTCTTTGGCCAATTTTGCCTGAGGTAAAGAATCTACCTAATAATTATCCACGCCTTGATATAGAGTGTTAATCACTTTAGGCCACATCCTCCTTCATTAAACAAATATGTATCACCTGATAATGCTTAAATGTGAAGCTACCAGGAACCAGTAAGTAATGATGGATGACTTTATTATGAACCACTGAGTAGTAGGTATGAGACAGTGCTACAATTTCAGGCTTTAGGACCTGGAGGGGGGAGTTCTTCTCCCACTGTCCCCAGATTCTGTGGGCGGGACTGGAAATAAGATTCCAGTGCAGACATTTTCATGCTCTGACAAGTGGGTGTAACAATTCCTGCAATTGTCTCAGACAGTTTTGTTTCCAATTACTCAATGTAGATATATTAACCTCCTCTAAAGCAGATCAGCAATGGGGGATGTATTATATTTGTAACCAGCTTGAAGACAAACTTCTCAATTATTGACAGAACCTAATAAGGTAAGATACTGGCAACAGGGGGAAGGGAGAGTATTCTGAGCAGAGTTCTGCTGGTGGAAAAGGCCAAAGCATGTGAAAAAAAAAGCCACAAAGTCAGGTCTTTGATATGTGGTTAAAGTTTCCATTGTATGCACTTGCTGGAGAGGTTTGAAAAGTGGGAAAAACAAGAAGAAAATGCATTTTCAAAATTTCAGAAATGCATGAGAGTCCAAATGTTAAAGGAGTTGGGTGCAACTTCTAACCTGATGATGACTTGTCTACTAGATTGTCAATTACACAGTGGTTTCCTAAATATAATAGTAATTTGATTTATAGAAATGCTCTTGTGCATTAACACTGTACAAAAGAATTTCTTATCATTCCTTGAAACTAAGTTTCATGCCTCATCAGATGACAACAGGACAGACACAAAAGCAATGGCTTCCAAAGGGTCTGATAGCCAAATGGTTTAAGCAAAATGAAACCAGTAAGATCTATGAAAGGTTCTTGAGAGCCTGAGTGAAAAAATGGTAAGACAGATTTATGCAATATGAGTCACTGTGTCATTTAAAGATGCAGAGTATGGTTTCAAAATGTCAAATGCAGTGTTACTTTTCAAATGCTGTTTACTGTAGATCACTTTGTCAGCTTTTAATAAATAAATATACATCCTCATTCATTCTAAATTTGCTATCAACAATACAGAGAAGTCTACAAATTTTAAAACTGATAAAAACAGCATGTTAAAATTAAAGTAGTCCAATATCATCCCATCTCTCCCTGTTGGCTTTGTGTCTTAGTGAGCCGGTATAAACAAGTTCAGGAAGCTGCTGAAAAGTGATTCTTGAGGTACAGTATGTAATCCTCCTCTATAAAGTAGGCCATTATTTTCCTAATGCATTTAATTAGCATTTTATTGCCCAGCCAGCCAAATGATTTATCAAAAAAAAATCTGTTTTATTTAGTAGAAAATATACAATAATAGTGCTGGCCATTTGCACAGAAACTCTTCTTAAAAGCACACTTCCTCTCTATATAGTATATTTTTTGTATGGAGCAGCATAGTCAACATGGTTGAACATTATGAAATTGGATACGTAAGTAAAGTAAAATATTTCAACTGTAATTCAGTAAGACAAGTCAAACCAACATCAATCCAGAAAATATGACTCTGCCATATCTCTCCTTTTACACTGGTAGCACTCCGTGGCAGTATCTCATGTTTGTCTTTATGTCTTCATGTCTAGCATTATATCATGTGGGTGACAAACCTGGTAGCCCTGGTCTTCCAGGTCACTTCAGCCTCAGCTGCCACCTCTGCATCAGCAGACAATGTTCTCAGTAACCATGCCACCATCCTGGCTGATAATAGTGCCAGCTTGGCATTCAGCCTTTATCAAAATATGGCAAGGGAGAAAAACACAGAAAACATCCTGATTTCTCCTGTAGTAGTTGCCTCTTCTTTAGGTCTAGTGGCTCTAGGGGGAAAGGCCTCCACTGTCTCTCAGGTAAAAACCATTCTGAATGCAGCTAAAGTTAAAGATGAGCAGCTGCACTCCGGTCTGGCTGAGCTCCTGACTGAAGTGAGCGACCCAAAGACCCGAAATGTCACTTGGAAGATTAGCAACCACCTGTATGGACCTAGTTCTATTAACTTTCTGGATGATTTTATCAAGAGCAGCAAAAAGTACTATAACTGTGACCATTCCAAGATAAACTTCAGCGATAAGAAGAGTGCTGTGAGCTCCATCAATGAATGGGCAGCTAAGTCTACTGACAGTAAAATGCCTGAAGTCACCAAGGATGTAGAAACGACTGATGGGGTGATAATCATCAATGCTATGTTTTTCAAACGTGAGTCTGCATGAAATCTGTATATTTCTAGTATTTTATTCCATTAAACCACCTCAGAGTTAACAGATTTCTTTCACAGCTCACTGGGATGAGCAGTTCCATCATCAGCTGGTGGACAACCGTGGGTTCCTGGTATCCCGTAGCTACACAGTTTCAGTACAGATGATGCACCGCACAGGTGGGTGGAAACAGTCCTGTGTGTTCTGAAACAAAACTTGTAACACTCAAATGATCAACACTGTGAGAAATACACTTTGCTTTATGCTGGGGAATTAGCTGAGATAACTGATACCACTCTGACATCTGTTTATTAAATATAAGGCATCAGCCTGCAGCTGGATATCTTAGCACATAGACTGGAATCAGGGAATAAGTTTGACTATTTCTAGACATAACAAACTGTGGCTTGCGGCACCTTTAGAAGTTCCCATGTTATATCTTGTTTGTTTAATTCCTATAACAACAGGAGAACAGGAGTGTAAAAACAATAGTTAGCAGTTTTATAGAGGTGAACTATAGGCATGAGTGGTGCGGTGGGTAGAGCAGTTGTTTTCCAACCGGAAGGCTGAAGGTTCAAATCTCAGTGCCTGCAGTCCACACGTTGAAGTGTCCTTGGGCAAGACACTGAACCCCGCCATTTCCTGTGATGGTGGCGCGTATGCATGCATGCAGCAGCCCGGGGCCCTCAGCTCCAAACACAATTTCGTTATACATGTTACAATGACAATAAATAAAAAAGATATCTAGACTATTCTGCTATTTTAATGTCTGAATTCATGTGAAATTTACCCACTAGAGAGAGAGCCAAAGTAAAGGTGGAACTACTTGTTTTGTTCTAGAAACAAAAAAGACGTGTATCAATGCCAACAAATCCAACTCTGGAAAATAATAATAATAAAATATATCTTACTAACAAGCTCATCTGTGTTGTGGTGGATGGCCAGTAATCATATTAGAATGACTCAGATGTAACAACTATAATTTACTGTGTGATCAGCAGCATTGCAGTATAAACAGGAAGCAGAACTGTGCCCATAAACCCCACAGGAAATGCCATTATAGCAATATCTCACAATACAATGAAACTGAAACTAGAGTCCATATGCTCTTCCTCTAACAAAGTTCATGTTACTTCAGTCACATGGTCTTTTAACCAAGCAGGCTGACATGTAATGCATTTAGGCCTAGGAGAGCCTGTAATAATTCATTAATATCACTGTGAATCTACAGTGATATGCTGTTGTGTCAGATTGGAGTGGAACAGTACAGAGTTTGGCAAATTTGTCATTCAGCTGACAAGGGGGGCATGCACATATTGATGAGCTGATAATGTCATCTGTCTTTGGCCACCAGTATAAGTCATGGAGGCATTGTTTGATGTGCACAACACCTTGGTGGCCTTCATGTGCTAATGTTAGAACAACTTTACAGTGTGTAAATACAGTTCAAGCACCATAGCTCAACAAAAGACTATGGCATCTACACTACTCTCTACTACAATGCAATATAGTCAGTGACTCGTCAATTTTATTCTTTGTTCAGAATAAACACTCACTTCAATTCTAATGCTGCAACACATTTCAGAAAAAGTTGGGACAGTTGCATTTCAGGGCCAGTACTGAGGTAGAACAATGAAATGATGATTCCATTTGAAACAGGTGATGTCAACAGGTGACTGCATCATGATTTGGTACAGAAGTGGAGGACCACCAGTTTGCCAACATATGTGTGAGAAAAGTACTAAAATGTTTAAAACAATGTTCCTCAAAGAAAGACAGGAAGGGACTTGGATCTGTCACCCTCTACGGAATCTGGAGGGATTTCAGTGCATAAAGGGCCAAGCCTAAACTGGATGACCGTGCTCTCTGATCCCTCAGATGGTGCTGCATCAAGAATCGTCACCCTTCTATAAGTGATATAACCACATGGGCTCAGGATGACTTTGGCTCACCTGTGTCAAGCACTACAATATGTAGTTACATCCATAACTACTGCTTAAAACTGGACTGTGCCAAAAGGAAGCCCTATGTCAACAGTGTCCAGAAGCACAGTCGACTGCTCTGGGATCAGAGGCAGCTGGGATGGACCATCACACAGTGGAAACATGGACTGTGGTCAGACCAATCAGTCTTTCAGTCAGTCAGACTGTTAGCAGCAACAAGTTCAAAACCCAGGGTCTGTCATGGTCTGGGGTTGTGTCAGTGCCCTTGGTAAAGGTTTCTGTGATAGCACCATTAATGCTGAAACATACACAAAGACTTTGGTCCAACATATGCTGCCTTCAAGACAACACCTTTTCCCATGCATATTTCAACAAGACAACACAAAACCTCATCCCACCACATTACCAAGGCCTGGCTGTGGAGGAAAAGGGTGTGAGTGCAGGACTGGTCTGTCTGCAGTCCCGACCTGTCCCCAGTACGACCCGTCCCCAGTAGAAAATGTGTGGCACATTTTGAAACACAAATTGTGTCAACGAAGACCCAGGACTGTTGGACTCCTGAAGACTAGTTTACAGGAGGAATGGGACAAAATGACACCTGACACATTGAATCACTTGGTGTCCTCAGTCCCTAAACGTCCTTTAGTGTTGTGAAAAGGAACAGAAACTTCACACCGTGGTAAATGCTTTACTGTCCCAACTTTTTGGAATGTGTTGCAGCATCAGAATTGAAGTGTGTTTATTCTGAACAAAGAATAAAACTGATGAGGTGTCACATCAAATAATGTGCTGCTGTGTTGTTTTCAAAGTGATACAGGACACAGATGATTTACACATCACTATTTTCAGTTTAAATTTTGATTTTGAAATCAGAAATTTTTCTGATTTGGGGTTATAATCTTAATTAGTGAGTTTCAGCTGAACTGTGTATTCTGTTCTTTGGAGAGAGCCAGGTTAGCTATCCCCCCACCCCCCATTTACAGTCTGTATGCTAAGCTAAGCTAAACAGCTGCTGGCTTTAGCCTTACAATTAGTCATCATATATGAGGATGCATCCAACTCATGGAAGTGAATCAGAGTATTGCTAAATATTATTTGTGACATCAGTACAATAAATCTAGTAGCTGTCTAGGACAAAGAGAAACCACATCTTCTGGTTTCTCTCATCATTTATAAAACAAACAACAGCATAAAGCTTAAGAGGTTCTAAAGTGTACTGTAAGTGCAGATTGCTAATAATTGTAATAGAATTGCAACATTTGCTTCTCAGGTCTCTTTGACTTCTATGATGACAAAAGTAACAAGTTGTCCATCCTGAGCATGCCCCTGGCTCATAAGAAATCCAGTGTGGTGTTCATCATGCCCTACCATGTTGAACCTCTGGAGAGACTGGAGAAATTGCTGACCAAGAAGCAGCTGGATATCTGGATGGGCAAGCTGCAGCAGACAGCAGTGGCTGTGTCTCTGCCCAAAGTCAGCATGGAAGTCAGTCACAACCTGCAGGTAAAAAATGCACAAGATAAAGAGTTTCCTAATGGACTAAAAATGACAACACCTCAGTGTTTTGCCTTATATGTTTTTCTTCTGGCTATCTTCAGAAACAACTCGGGGAGCTGGGCCTGACAGAGGCTGTGGACAAATCCAAAGCTGACTTGTCCAGGATCTCCGGGAGGAAGGATTTCTACCTGTCCAGTATGTTCCATGCCTCTGCCATGGAATGGGACACTGATGGAAATGAAATTGATGCCAGCATCTTTGGCACAGACAAGCTGAAAAACCCTAAACTGTTCTATGCTGACCATCCTTTCACCTTCCTAGTGAAGGACCAGAAGACAAATGCCATCCTGTTTATTGGCAGGGTGGTTAGGCCAAAAGGTGAAAAGATAAGAGATGAATTGTAACCACGTGTTGACCTGAACAAACATCTGACTGTGTGTGTGAGCATAGATTTTCTATTGCAATATGCTTAGAGAAGTGGCAAATTAAATGTATATTTGACATTGCACAAGTGCACTTACTGTATGTCATATGCCAGTAGCATTCCACAGTATATGAGATGCATTTAACCATTTTGTCCTGTGTTTTAGGGAGCTTTTTTTATTACCTATTGGCAGACCATTTCACACTGAAAACTTATATTAGATATGATTTCACTGATTTTAACCTGCAAAGTAAACAGACACTTTAATGGAGGAGGAAAACCCTTGTGATACATTATCATCAGCATGTGCCAACATGAAAGGTGTACAACAGTATTACTTTTGGAGAGATTAAATATCTATTATTTTGTCCATTTTTTGCACTCCTTTCCATGGCACAGATATTTTTCTTTAAGAGGCCATACCATTGTTTTTCTTGGTAGTGATCTACCCTGAATGCACTGATCCACCAACTGCTCCGTTCAGGCCATGATACAGCGCAAAACAGTATCACAGTCCAGGGCATGTTCCAGCATGCTGGGCCACTGATCCTGCATAGGACTGCAGGGCATATCATAGCCAAAGTAATCCTGTTCCAATGGTTCCAAGCATAAAAACTATAGGCTGCCTCACCAAACGTTTTTGTCCTGCACTTTGGAACAACTAAAACACTCAGTTTCAGAGGATCTGCAATCTTCTGATATTTGAGGATTTGAAGTCATCCTGGTTGTGGAAGCATGTCAGATAATTAAGCTGGTGCAAGACCATGAAGCACCTTGAAAACAGTTGTAATGTGTTCTCTCCTTCTAGTCATGGTCAGCCCTCAGGCAGCAGAGTTCTGAACCAGTTGTAACTGATTTATAACTGTTTTAGGTAGACCAGAGGGGAGACCATTACTGTAGTCCAGTCTGCTGGATATAAAACTGTGCATTAGTCTATGTCACTCAGAGAGAGAAACTGATGCAATTTAGTGATATGTTTGACACGATAGAAAAGTACATTTGGTGACAAACCCCACATGACCCTTGAAATTCAGTTCGGAGTCCAGCATAACATCAGGTTTTCTGGCCTGATTGGCTAAGGGTAAGTCATTTCTCTTTAGCACTTAGTGGACTCTGGTGAGCTCCAATGTACTTATGTGGAGAGCCTGGCCCTCTTCTCTGGTTTTAATCATGTCACCCTTATTAAATTTTGCCTGTGTTGCACCATCAGAGGTGACTTAGACATTATCTGTCACACTTAACAGATGTAAACACCACATTGGAGATGACAGAATAAAGAAACTTAACCCAGTTTAGGCTAGTGGAGGTCTTGTGGTCCATCCACAAAAATCTAACTTTATATCACTTTAATCACCACTTTATTGACTTTTGCTTTACTAAATTGTTGGTCAGTACAGAAGGGATAGAGAATTAGAAATTTCATTTAAGCAGTATTTTTTTTTTATTTTTACTTTAAGATAATTATAATTGTAAGTAACCAATTGTATAGGGTTAGGTGAGGACAGCTCTAACAGTATCTAATTCCTCCATTCATAATTGAACCATGAAACTTATTCTGAATTTCCAATTAGCCTCTCAGCTAGCCGGAAAACAACAGCTAAGTGTAGACTTTCCCTCTGGACTTATCATCATAAAGGTGTTTTGGGCGTATGAAAGTTATTGTTATATTGTCCTGCTTGTGTGCATGAAAAAATTGAATATATAATTGTAATCATTGTGTCGCTGACTGTTAAATGACATAGCTGGGTCAAGGTTACTGTGGCAGGCTTATGGCTGGGGGGGGGGGGTTGCAACATAATGTTACTCTGCAGTCATATTAAAACTGATACAAGAACAACAAGAACATTAAATCCTGATTAGTCTTATGGCTAAAGAAATATTAATGCAATTTTAAAGTTACAGTAAGTTATCTTTCTTCCTTGTGTAATTAAACAGTAAAAATACTTATACTGACACAATCTGTGGATTAACTGCAATTTTCATAGATACAGTATGGTTTGTAAAACAGTTCAAATACTGACCCATGGCAGGTAAAATAAAACTGTGCACAGCAAATTTGAAATAGCAAATTTAACACTCTCAGAGTTAAAATTAACACTCTCTCAGGGTTTATATGGGAACCACTGGAAAAGTGTTAAATTAACACTTTTGAAAGAGTTACAATTATAAACACTATGCAGTGTTACTTAACAAACTCTTACAGTGTAAAATTTTAACACCACAACAGATGACAAGAACACTAAGTAAGTGTTTAAAGTTCACTCATAACAGACACTGATGGAGTAAATTGTCAACACCACTAGAAATCAGGTTACCATCTTATGGTGACAATTTATGCTAAAATAGTGTTGATTACACTACTAATGAAAGCTAAATGGTGCACTTGGATTAACACCATTAAGAGTTAAAATGAATCTTTTAGTGTAACTAACCTATCATCCATGTGCAATAATCACTCCAAAAAAGTACTGCAATGAACAAAAATATTTATTTTTCCTTTTACAAAGGTATTAAATTTGCCAAAGCAGTGCA